ACCTGTGAAGTGCAGATTGGAGGTCTCAAATGGATGTGTTTTATTCAGGTGCTGTTCCTTAAAAGGCTCTTAGCTTTTGATTGCATTTGACCCTTCACCAAAGCCAGCTGGCCCCTGTGTGGTGGTATCCGGCTAAGAGTGAGAAGCACACCTGTTCACAGACACACATGAGCGTGCAGGGAATGGAATGATTCCGTAATGTTGCCATCCTCTGAATACTTTAATTTCTATAATCTAATAACTTGAGCTGTTCCAAATTACTCAAGTAAGTTTCAGATGTTTGCTGTTTGAAAAATATTTATGGGCATTGAATGGAAGAAATAGCTTGGTGGTGGCAGAGGACAGTTTCTCAGTTTCTCTTTATAAACCTCATTTAACAGAGATGGATAAACAGGGCTATGATAATCCCCGGAAGGGAACTATGGGACACGCAGCATCTCTTCCAGTTGTTCTGCTGCTGCAGGCCATTTCCGACAGAGGATGGGGTGAGCATCTCAACTTCCAGGCTCTCTTCACTCAAGCTGGATGGATCCCCACTAATTACTTGTGTTTCATCAGTGGTCTCTTTAACCAAGAATTAACTAGACTCATTAAAAAAAAAAAAAACCTAAATTATTCTCTCTTCTGGGTCTTGGTGTCTTCTGCCTAGATAGTTGTTTCTTCAGATGATTTTAAATGTTATGAGGAGAGACAAGTCTATGCACTATAATCTTTAATTCGCTGTGTTAATGCATCTGAGTCAGAAGGAAATCCCCTTTCTGAATGTTCCCTTTTCGGTCCACTTGTGATGGTTTAACTTGATGGGGCAAATGGATGTACTAATACTGACAGAACATTATTTGGGGGCATTCTCTATAAGAATCATCATGCAAAGCAGAAGACTGAGATGATCTGTCTTCCTAGTGTGGCCAGCATTGTGCAACCCACTAAGGGCCTGGATAGACAAAAAGGTGAGGAAGAGTGTCTCTCTCCTTCAGCTGGGTCATCCATATTTATCTCTTTTCACACATCGAAGCTCCTCATGGTTCTGGTTTCTTTGGACTCTAAAATTTATACTGAGACCCTCTCTCCTTCACAGGGTTCTTAGGAAATCTTTGACCTCCGAGCAGTTAGACTGTGGGGCTTTGTAATTCTCAGACCTTCCTCTTAGGTTGAGTTATACACCTTTGGCTTCCCTGGTTGGTTCTTTAGCCTGAAGATGTCATCTTGTGGGACTCCTCAGCCCTCTTGGCAAAACAAGTCAAACTGCAGAATGTCTTTTTTGCCTAGGTTTCTGTATAACCTATTGGGTCTTCTCTGGAGAACTTCCTAATGCATGTATAAAAATCCCTTCTGCTTCAAAAGATAAGGAGAGGTGTCCATGATATCCTGTTGGGTGTTCCTCTGTTATCAGATGGGGAAACAAAGTAGCTACTATACTTAATATTTTCCAAACATTGTGCCTGATGGAATCAGGCTCCCCTTCATATTAGTAAATGATCTTATGACCCTAAAAGAAAAAGAATATAGGATTTCTCATTTCAGAATGGCGAGCTAAAGGCCCCCAAGGTCAACAAGGGACCATGTTAAGAAGGGACAAGAGCCAGGACTTCGGCTCCTGGCAGGTGGTCCACTTTTGATTTTCTAAGAGATTGTGAAAGACCAGCAAATGTTAATCAATAATAAGAATTCATGATTAACTATAATAAATAAGTTACAAGCCAGGTCTGTCCTAAGCAAAAGCATTTTATAATAGAGTATAATATAGTGGGCTCGGCCACTTTCCACAGAGATCTCTGAGCTGCGGCCAGTTGAGGGCTGTCAACTCTGAGATACAAAGAGTCGTGGACCCAGCAAAACAGGCAGTGCTTTCTAGGGCAGAGCTTCGTGTCTCCATGTTTGCACTGAATGTCTCCTGTCTTCAGAGCTTCTGTGAGGTTGGCTGACCTCTGTTGAACGTGCACCTCAGCTCACTGCTATCCCCTACTCCATCCCGTGACCTTTCCCTTCCACACACACCAAGAATACCCCTTGCATGTAATTTCCATTTCACAGCTCGCTCTGTAGGGAATCTAACCTGTGACCTGTGTCTTCAGATCTTTTTTCCTTCACCACAAGTGTCCAGTGCCCTCTTGACCTAAGGTTCTTTACTTTCTTCCAATCAAGATCTGCTTTTGAATTTATTTATTTAGGCTTTTAAAGAAAAAGATACCAAAAAAAATCTGTTCTTGGGGGGTAGATGTGATAAATTTATTTCCCTTAAGATATAAGAGACTAATGAAACACAAGCATGAAATTTCCAGTGTCCTTTCCTGTAACGACCCGTGCACGGAAGCCTGTAATGAGGTGAAGCCAAATGCTAAAAGCAGAGATCCTAAAGGAACCTTTCATCTATCAACGCATAAATACATGTAGGCTTTACTTTCTAAGTGTATTTGGGGAAACACTCTATTCTGTGCAGGTCATCTCATGAACAAGGCTGGACGCTGGGGATTTTAAGATGATACTGTGCTTCACTGTGCTTGTGGGATGTGACTAACACGGCATTATGGCATTATGCAAACTTGCGTGGAGGTGACTCATTAGGAGCCTCTCCTTCTGTAGGAAAATATTGATGCAGTAATCAAGAAGGTCACAGCGTGAGAAGGTTACCATGCTTTGAGTCTTCCATTTCAGTAATTAAGCCTAGCATGTTATGGGAAGGTTCAGAAAGCCCACCCAAAGCTATTCACAATAGCTGCAATTAGGAAACTGGATGCCACTTAGAGTCTTTTTAAGGGAATGAAATCGAATTGACCAAGCGTATAAGTAAAAATCTCCTTAGAAAGCAGCTAAATTAAGGCTATGGACTATCATTGATCCATGCCACTCGTCTTTTATACTCTTTCCAGGTATTAAGACTTCACTTTGCATTGTCCTATGACTGAAGCTGTTTCTACAAATAGAGCATTTACAGCCGGTCATATGATTTGTGTGTGTGTGTGTGTGTGTGTGTGTGTGTGTGTGTGTGTGAGAGAGAGAGAGAGAGAGAGAGAGAGAGAGAAAGAGAAGCTTCATTTGCCCATTTCTGACTCTGTTTTCTTCTCCAAGTGCATTTCTGAGCAGTCACCTGGGACTGTTCTAAAGAAACAGAATGGTATTGTTTAATTTTGTGGGCCATTTCTCCTGGGGCTATGGCACTAATGTCTGAAGTTTCAGATATTCCTTGGGTCTTTAGAGATGGTTCAGGCTGTAACATGCTTGCATACGGCCCGATAACCAGAGTTTGGATCGCCAGCACCATGTAAAATCTAGGTTCAGTGGTGCATGTCAGTAAGCCCAGCGCCTGGTGAGACTGAGCTAGGCAGATCTCTCTGCAGCTCATTGCCCAGGCAGCCTAGCTGAATTGATGAGTGCCAAGCTTAGAGAGACCTCATCTCAAAAGACAGCATGGTGACCAATCAAAGGAAACACCTGACCTATGATCTCCGGGTGCACACACCCAAACGTGCACATCCCCCATATAAAAAGACATATTGTAATTTGCTCTGTGTGTGTGTGTGTATCTGTGTGTATGGTGGTGGGTGGGTGGGTAAGTGTGTATGATGCGTCAGAATGTGGGCACATGCCTGCCACAGCTCATGTGTAGGGGTCATAGGTCAACTTTCAGAACTTAGTTTTCTCCTTTACTGTGGGATCTGGACATTTCCCTCCTCAGTTTGTCCAGTTGGTGCAATAAGCTCTTTTGCCCACAGAGCTGCTGGTATATATTGGGCTTAATGATGCATTCGCTGTCCTTAAGACCCCACTTGGAGTCTTTGATAGCTGGAGTTTAGGCCTTCCCCAGACCCTGACTGATAGTTAGAACAGAGAATGACACGTGAAGTCAGTAGTGGGCAGAGAAATTCTGCCGCCAGACTTCTGTTTCCTGGGCAAAATTTCATTGCATTCACCCATGGAATTTGGCGTCATTTCTGCAGCCCTGTTAGAGGTTTGACCAGCTGTTTTCGGCAAGGGCCAGTTTTGTGCCCAGGATATGTTTAGAAATGTCTTGAGACAGGTTCCCGTTACAGGCGAACCAGGATGTTGTTGGCTCAGGTAGATAGAACTCAGAAGTGCAGCGGGTCATCCTGAGGTGGGTAGCATGCCCCACCTTCCCTGCATCAGAGAACAATCTGCTCCTGATGTTGAAAGACCTGATGGAGAAAAGTCCACACAAGTGGGTAGACCGTTCTCAGTGTCTAAGTGCCGAGTAATGATGTGCTTTGCCATTATATGTAGGAATCGTTCACCTTTCTCCCTTCTTCTCCACGAACTTCACTTTGCAGCGTTAGTATGTGGAGTCAGCCTTCCAGCAGAGACTTCCAGAAGGGTGTCATAGGGTAAGGAGAGCAGCTGCTCTCCTGTTATCAATCTTGCATCTATCCTATGCATATTCATTGGATACTTTCTTTTCACTATTGGCTAGCTCAAGAGAATAAGCCACAAAGGAGACTTAGTCATTAAAAATGTACATTAGTTTTGTACAGAGATTAAAAAGTAGAGTGCAACCCCAAGCCATTTGTGTGGCTAGCAATGGCCACGTGTGGATTTGTGGGATTGTTCAAGAGGAACAACCTTGCGTCCAAATTTCTATCTAACACTGGATGCTAGAAAACCTTGCAAACAGCACATCATGCCAAGAAAATGCACATGCCAACAGGTACAGGGAAGAAGTCAGCCACAGGGAGAGTGACTGCGCTCAGGAAAAAAGCAGGAGAGCAATGCCAAGCTGTAGCACCATTGCATAGCCTCTCTTACTGAGGAAAAAAAGCTCCAGAGCTTAGTACCAGTCTGTGAAATGAAGGTGATTGTCATTTCCTCATTTGCCTGTAACAAATGGTCTTACCTAAGGACGGTGACCTTGGGAATGCCAGGGGATCAGACACATTTTAATGCAGGGGAGTCTGTGGCAACCGGGCGTGAGAAGCCGTCTGACCAGAAGCCAAGGCCATGTCCTCCACTCTGAAGTCTGATGTGTCTGTGTCCTTCCTGTTTTTCAGGGCACCATTTTTAGCACACTGGCTGGCGAGAAGTCCTCATCTGACTACAAAAAGGTAAGAAGCGGGCCTGTGGCCGCACAGTGTCGGAGGACTGCCTGCTTCCGGTTTGGTGGCATTAACTGAAAAGCTGCGCTCTTGGAGGATGGTCTGGTAGCATGCTGTGAGCAACTTTTAGGGGATGAAATGTAAGGCTCACTTTAAGGATGTGGGAATTGTTGCCTGACCACATTTTGTTATAGAGAAACACTGACTCCATCTACTTCCATATCTAGGGTTTTATTATACATCAGGGAAGCACAGGCCCGCCCGTTGTGCACACTGAACTGCAGGCTTCGATATCTTTGATTGCAAGTGTGACACTTGTAAAACATAAGCTCAATACAATAGCAAAATGACTTTGCATTTTGGAAACTGGTTCATATAGCATAAAAATCTGGTTTGGATTTGCCACAGTCAGGTTTGAGAAAGCTGTCATGCTTTGCAAAAGGATTAGCTTCACCCACATCTGATAGATCACCTCTGCAGCCTGCCTGCAACCATGGCGTGGCTAATTCCTGGCTTTGAGGGCCAGGGGTCACTTTGATCCACCTCTTTAATCTACAATTTAACTAGATCCTGCCCTTCCGGTAGAGGAGGAGAAGTGATTTCACAGTCCAGACAAGTCAAATAAATTCTTTGACACTATCAATTGAAACGGAAAAGCAGGTACATGAAGACTTGGCTTATGGCTAATGTGTTACTTGGCATTTCATAGGAATTTATATCATGGTGTTCTGTGCTGTGTGGTTTCTGTCTTTAATATTGCTCAGTAAGGAAGTAGGTAGAGGTATTTGTCTTTAGAGGGAATGTGAGGACCTACTCCCTTTTATTACTTTGATAGATTTTTTTTTTAAGTGATTTATCTTTCCTGAGTTTTGCTGTGTTTGCCTTATTCTCTAAGCAGGTTGTAAGCTGTTAGGATGAGGACCATGTATTATTTTTAGAACCACAGATCTCAGTGAATAAAGAGACTTTAGGGGATTGTTAGGTTAACCTTTTTCCCAGGGTGGGACTAGCTTTGATATTATTTATAGCTGGACCTCTGTCCTCTTCTGACAGTGACCTCTCTGAGCCTGGTTGTTCCCTAGTGAGACAAGTCAGAGAATTAGAACCATTTGACCTAGCCAGCTCCTGTGATTGCTACCTGCTTATTTAAGTGTGGACCAGCTCACATGCTTCCTTCTGAGTCTTCCCCCAACCCATTTCCAAGCTAATATTTTCTTTATTATTACTGATAGGTCATTGATATGGTTGATTCGTATGAGCAAGGAGTGTGTAGATTTGCTTTTGAAATGTGGCTCTATCACTGCATACTTGGGTTGGTTATACACCTGCAGATGCTTCAATGTTGCCGTCTTTAAAATGGAACTAGTAATTGTACTAACCTGATATAGTATATGAAACGATATATATATATATATATATAAAGTACTTCCAACATGTCCGGCACATTCTAGATTTTGTATTAGCTGTTGCAGTCACTGATTTTATATGAAGCTATCTTTTTTTTTGGGGGGGGGTTGCTTTTGTTAGTGATGTCGAGAATTATGTATCATTTTCCAAATGTGGCACAGCTGGCATGAAGCATTAAGGGACTTCTCACTCTCCATTCAGCTTGTTATGACCCAGGCGCAATGAAGACATGAGCCATGATGAAAAGGGCAGCTCTATGCCTTCTCGAGTGTAGTGTTAACCCTGTGAGTAGTGTAAGATGTTGTTGCTTTCATGAGCCACATCCCTCTGTTGGACAAGTTAATGCCATAGGCCACTGATGGTTTTATGGAGGTCAGAAGGGTGCACATAAAAATTGGGTTGTGCCGAGTACAGGACTGAGAGGGATGAGGAAACGGTAAGGTGGTCTTTAAATGAAGTTCTCATAAAAGGGACAGAGATGGATGGTTGGGCAGGGCTTCTAGGGCTCAAGGAGCGAACCTCAAAGCAGACGACATGAAGTCAGATGTGGAATCTGTCTCCCGGTCATCACCCAGTGCTCAAAATGTTTCTGCATTTCAGGTTTTGAGACGAGGGCAATTGAAACCGTGCGAAGTCTACCAACATACAGCCTGCCAACTGCCTCCCCTGTCTCTAGCTTTCCTCTGAAGGCTTGGTGCTTTACACGGATTATCTCATCTGATGACTGTAGCTGCTCTTTGAAGGAACTGTGCCATTGCTGATTTATAGACATTTTGGTTTTACAGACACGGCAGGGGACCCTTCCAGTAGTAGGTGTTGGAGTCTGGATCTGGCAGTCTGGCGCCTGCACAGTGTGTCTTTAGGTCTTTTGCTACTTCTTTCCCTCCCTGGCTTTTAAATATTTTTTAACGGGTCCCACCTCCCCTTACACTATTAGCTCCAGGAGAGGAGGAACAGCACTGGTTCTGTTTGGAACAGTAAAACAGTAACTGTGAGGTAGTAAAGGCTCGGACACATTTATTAGTTGATGGGATCACTGTGTACATGCCTATCAAGTCTTGTGAGCTCATTCTAGGACTGTGTGGGTCTGACAAGCAATCTATTTACTCCCTTTTTACTGGGGTTGAAAAGGATATTTATATTCAAGATTTATTTGTGACGGGATTTTCTTTGCATTAAAAATAAGGCGCTCGCCAATAGCTGGGGAGACTGGTGTGCTTAGGTGATCAAAGTGGAAATTTCCCCAAGGTCTTCCCCTCCCACACCACAATATGACATTGTTAGAACCTTTGTTTTATTAATTATTAATGCAAAAAAAAGCTAGAAACATCTTGCGGGTATGTGCGTTTATCTAGTCATTGTGGATTATCGGCTGAGTATATCCTACTATAAGGTATCTTTTAGTGCTAATGTGTGAAGAAAAACAAAGGTGCTAACACATGAAATGACTCACTCTAGGGCACATCTCGAGCTCCACTCAGGCTTCAGGACATGCTTACTTGTGCTTTCCCTAGACAACATCTCCACCCCATGCTCTTCAACTAAAGCTGACATCTGTGGGGTGTGTGTTGGTGTGTGTGACTAGTGGCAGAAAATGGTCCTCAAGGGACTTCTTGTGCCAACATACCAAGAAATCTAGAGAACTATGTACTCATTTTGTACTTATATCCCTGTAATCTCAGCACTTAGGAGGAGGCAGGGACAGATGTACCCCTCTTGAGTTCAAGGCCAGCTTCATCTGTAAGGTGAGTTCCAGGCCAGCCAGGGCTATACAGTGATACCCTGTCTCAAATCAAAAACAAGAAAAACAAAAACAACACAAAGTAAACCCCAAAGAGTATTGGTTTGGGGCGTATGTGATCATATAAAGGAAATCTGCTTTTTGTTAGTGATAGTTTTGTGAGATATATGTGGCTGTGTTCATCTGTTCCTTCTAATGTGAGACTTCGACTCGGGGCCCTTTTGTTGTCCTTAAAGTACATGTAAGTATGCAGAGAACTTGCCCATGTGGTCTCTGAGCTCGCTGGATGAAGCTTTTAATGCACAGTGGTGATGCTTCACTGCGTTGATAATTTCCCTTCAGGAGGTGACTTAAGAACACACAGTGAGACAGGCTAGAGGAAGCTCAAGCTTTTCATCAATAATGATGGATGAGTCCCTAGGTAAAGTCACGATAGTAATGCTGATGGTTAGGATATTTACGCGCGCTGATTCTCCAATATTTTAAAACTATGCTGTATCTCTCTTTCCCTTTTTGTTCATATATATATTTTAATTTTTGAGATGATAATGTAATGACATTTCTCCCTTTCTTTTCCTCCCCCCCCAAACTCTCCCATCTGCTCTCTTTGCTCTCTTTCAAATCCATGACCTCTTTTTTTCATAAGCTGTTATTGCATGCGTATATGCACAGACATATATATCCCTAAATATAACCTTCTCAGTCTGAATGTTAGCTCTACATATGTGTTTAGGGCTGACTGTTTGGTATTGGATAACCGTTCGCTGTACTCTTCTCTCGGCATTCCTCCGTTGCCTGTAGTGAAGGCCTCACAGGCTTTCCTCCAGTTGCGTTGTCGTGTCTGCTGGTGTCATCCCTGTTCAGCTCATGTTTGGGCGGTCACGTCAGTGAGAATATAGATGCAGTTTCTCACATTATTAGGAGTCACAAGCTCACAGCAAATTACTCGATCTTTTGGCACCAAGAGGGAAACCATGCCCCGGTACTGGAGACCTGTAACTATTCAGTGCTGGCAAAGTCATGGTTATTGGTGAACCTACAACCACTACTTTACTAAGCCAGCATACTCTCTAACAACGATGTAAACATTTGTCCTTTTACACACATAAGTTTAATCTCCACTCCTCACCAAGGAGACTTCTCTTTGCCGCAGCGGGAGGCCACTACAGAAAACTGCAACCAATTAAAACGCAGAGCTGTGGACCCAGTCCCGATGGATAGATCTACTTACATACCCAACTCAGGGAGCATTGTGGAAGAGGGCGTGAGAAGATTGTTGGGAGCAACAGCAAGGTTCAAGTGATCTGATCAGGCCTCTAAGAAAGGGGCTCTTTAGGGAGGAAGAGGGATGTAAATACAGAAGAAGGAGAAGTAAAGTAAAATAACAATATAGATGACTGATAAAGCTCTGAGGAATCGTGCTATTAACTATTTACCTAAAACAAACAAACTGAAATTTCTACAATACACAGAATTCTGTGTATAAATATAGTTTGAATGAACTTTTCTCATCTGGCTGACAATGTTCCCTCTAAGAGCTAAAGACCACGTAACACAAATAATACCAGCCACAAGAAGCCCTCTCTTTAATTGTCCAGCATTGTCCAAGAGACTCCCATAACATGTGGCCTATTACTATTGCCCTTGGCTTTCCCCCAGAGTAAGAAGGCAATTCCTTATTGCTGAAGACACCATGTGCTTCAGAAATGGCCCAGAGAACTTTGAGCTGGAACTGACTTGAATTACCACTTCCTGAAGGTGCCATGCAAGCTTCCAACAGAGAAAAACAATCATCAAAGCTACATTAACTATGATGCCTATGGACCTCAACAATGACCAGCATGGCACATTTACAGTAAGG